GAAGACTCTAAGAAAAATCATGATCATATTAGAACACCTAGAAGTAATTATTATTAACCTAGGAGAATGCACAATCCAAATATTATATGTGTAATACCCTGATTTGAAAATAAATGGATTGGGAAAGAAAAGTCTCAAAAGGATTGATAGTACTACTCATACCAACAAGGTGCATCTTCTTTTCGAGAGCTCATCACTTAGAAACTCCAAAGTTAAGAATGTTTGACTTGGAGGAATTTTAGGATGGGTGACCCCCTAGGAAGTTCCTTGGGCGCGCACGAGTGAGGACAAAGTGTGTGGGAAAGACTTGTGTTGGTTTCTAGCGCCAGTCTACAATCCTATGAGCAGACACTTACGGACAGGGTGGGGGCCGGGTGTTACAAATGGTATCAGAGCAACCCTGTGATCGTGACGGGCCAGCGAGCTTAGTTCACATAGTGGGGAAGATTTAGGGGTTTGAAAAAAATGATGCAACGAGGACGTTGCATTCATTAGTAGAGGTGAATGTAATATCCTGATTTGAAAATAAATTTATTGGGAAAGAAAAGGTTCAAAAGGATTGGTAGTACTACTCATGCCAACAAGGTATATCTTCTTTTCGAGAGCTCATCACTTAGAAACTGCAAGGTTAAATGTGCCAGACTTGGAGCAATTCTAGGATGGGTGACCCTTTGGAAAGTTCCTTGGGCGCGCACGAGTGAGGGCAAAGTACACGGGAAAGTCTTGTGTTGGTTTGTGGGGCTAGTCTACAATCCTATGCGCAGACACTACTTATGGCCAAGGTGGGGGCTGGGGTGTTACAATACGTCATTATTACAATAAAGTAGAACATATAGCACGAGAATGCTTTACTAGGCATAGGCACTTCAGCCAAAACGAAGCACACTACTTAAATGCAACTAACAAAAAGGAATCCTAAAAAAAAGGATATTCGATTAAAACATCTCTATCACAGGGAAAAGAAACAAAGAAACCATATTACTTCTTTTTTATGATGAAAAGAAAAAAAAGACTCACATACCATTGTCGTAACCTAATCAAATCAAACCAAGATATAGACACACAACTTGAGTATATTGGAATCCACCAACCACAAAAAAGTGTTGGCAAAGGTAATGTTTAAATGCCTATATTAAGTTGTGGGTGTGTACATGTTCGAAACATTTTTTTCATAAGTCTTTTTGTTGACTAATTCACAAGGACCTAAAAAGGATATTGGGTACCTAGAACCATCTTTTGCTAGAGTTAAAATCAATTATGAAGTGTCGAAGTAAGGGGGAATCAAAAGATGGCATAAAAAGGCAAAACCATGCAAACAACGATGTTTTGACAACTACATCGTTGTTTTACGACTTCTCAGGGAGTACTAATTTTAGTAACTCATCTAACTCATTCGACTAAAAAAATGCTCTCTTTTAATAATATCCAAGTCAAGATAGACATTCTTTAGAGGCTAGAGCGCCCTATGCTCAATTTCTACTAGTAAGTGCCGGGACTTCCCAAACACTAAGTGGAATGGAGTAGTTCGTATCGGGGTCTTAAGTTGTTTGAAAATGAAATTGTACTCCACAACAGTGTTGGAACCCATATTTGGCTAACAATTTAGCCATATGGCCACTTTGAAAGTGGGTTCCTCTATTGCCGATCAAACTTTTAGGGACGCCGAATCTAGTAAAGAATTTCTTGAGGAACGTTACCAGAGTTTTGGAGCCGTTGGCTGGAAAAGCTTGAGGCTCCACCAATTTTGGCACATAGTCATTGCAACTAGCACGAGAGCTTGGTAACGATCTCATGAAACCAATGCCCCAGAATGGAAAACTTCACATGGAAACATATAATATAATACTCATGCATTTCATCTCGTTTAGAGATGTTCCCAACTCTCTCGCATTGATCACAAGATTTATCAAAATTATCTGCATCCTTAAAAATAGAAGGCCAGTAAAAACTATAGTCCAACACTCGACGGGAATTTTGATTACCAAAGAAGTGACCTCTAACAGGCCCGGAGTGATAGTGCATCAAGATATTGCGAACTTTAGACTTGTTGGCATGACGACACACTACTTCACCAGAATAGACTAAATAAATAAGGACCATCTCATGAATAGTGCTAAACTTTTTAGAGAAACTTCTTTTCCATGTGGTATGAGAGATCAGGTGGTAGGACTTCCCCAACAAAGTAGTTGGCGATATCTCTTTGTGCCACGGTTTCTCAATAGCAAGATAAACGCTAAAAAATATCTCTTTAGAAAATAACTCCTCAATTTAAGTATTATTAAATCTGTCTACTAATCTAGCGTCTAACCTAGAAAGATAGTTAGCTTCTTGATTAGCATAACCTTGTCTGTCTAAAATCTCATAATTAAATTCTTGTAACAAAAGTACCGAACGCCAATAGATTTAGAATCTTGTTTCTTCAATAAATATCTCATTATTGAGTGATAAATATAGATAATTATTTTAGAAAGCAATATGTAGGATCTAACCTTCTCTCAGGAAAAAATCATTGCAAGAAATTAATTTTAAGTTATAGTGTAATTAAGTTGCAGTCCAGCCAAGGTCTGCTTACTACTGTAGTAAATGAGCCGAGATTGAAGCGGTTGTCCCTACGTTGTTCCAAAATAGCCTGAATTACTAAGTCCCTTGTGTCGCACATCATATCAAAACAAGTCATCCAATCAGTGGCAGTGAGGACCGGGGCTTCAATTAACTTCTTGTTTAAAGCATCAAAGGCAATTTTACGCTTCGTGGAGAAGAAAAAATTTGCCTTGTTTTCTAAAATTCGAGTTAAGAGTTTAGGGATTTTAGAAAAATCCCTTATAAACTTTTGTAAAACCTTGCATGTCCCAAGAAACTATCAATATCTTTTACAGAAGATGGGTTATGTAATTTCTCAATCGCTCAACTTTATCCTAGACAACTTTAGCTTTGTTTCCTTTTTTTGCCATGGAATCCTTGATTAATCGAAGATACACTATGTTTGGTTCAAGGAATTTGGAAGGAAAAGAAAGGAAAACGATTTTCTCTCATTTTCCTCACCAAAATGGGAGGAATTTGGTTTTTATCCACTTAGTACATTTTTCCTTCTCATTTTCATTTTCTTCCATTTTTTCTTTTTTTCCTCTCTAACCAAACAAGAAATAGTGTTTTCCACTTTATTTTATTTTCGCTTTCAAATTCCTTGAACCAAACATAGTGATAGTCTTCTAATCTGCTCGAAAGGCGCATGAATTTCCATCCATTTTTATGTCTTGTAATTAACATCCATGAAGTTTCGAATTATGAAATCAGGTATGTTTTCTTTCTTTTGTACCATCCTCTGAAATTCCCTAGAGTTTTTTTTATCTTAATTCATCATTGAAATGACTCAAACATTCACATTCTGAGAATGCATTTCGAAAATCTGAGAATGTGTTATGAAGTTGTTTTCAAGTTCAATAAGTAAATTGTTTCTTTTTTCAATGAACAACAGATTTGCACTGAAAAGTGAATTATCTAAATCTCAAAAATTAGATAAAAAGGATGACTCGTTGTGGAAATATGAGAATGCACTAAGGGCTATTATGGCAGTGTCTAAGAATGCATTATGAAATAAGGTGAATGTGTTGAAAATTTAAAAATGAGTTCAATGTTTGAAAATATGTTGAAGGTCTGGGAATGCGTTGTCAAAATCTGAGAATAAACAACATTACCCCAGTGCCTCAATGGCTCCCGCCCATTGCGGGGTAAGGCTATTTCCAGATGACCCATGATGAGCGTCGAAAGTTGCATTGACAAACTGTTACTACACAATTGCAAGAAGCGCAGACAGTTTAAAGAACCAATTTGCTTTATTCATTCCATCATACCCCAAAGCCAAAAATAGTGAATCTTTGGCTCTCCATAGGGGAAATGAAAATTGTCAAAATATGAGAATGCACTATGAAATTCTGATAATGAGGCTCAAACCATTTTTTGCATGGACTAAATATTGGTATGTTTAAACCACAGGGGAAACACCTGAATTGTGCTTTGAAAAAGGAAACCGTCTACACATTGAACCTGCAAAGTTCTCTGATGCAACTGATTTGCACTGAAAAGTAACATACCTAAAGTTGGAATACTAAAGCCCCGTTTGGTACACGGAATTCAAACTATGGAATTGGAATTGAGGACTTCAATTCCAATTCTGGTGTTTGGTAGCACAAAAATTATGTGGATTTGAAATTGATAGTGCAAAAAATGAATTGGAATTATCAGAATTCAATTCTATGGAATTGAATCCCATGTAATTTCAATTTCAATTCAATTCCGATTCCATCAATTCCGTATACCAAACGGACCCTAAATAAAATCAAGACTTGTTGTGAGTGCATTGTGGAAATCCGAGAATGCACTATGACAGAGTTCTAAATGAATTAATTAAAAGTATAACACAAGTGACGAGATATATTTAAGATCCCTTCCGTTTCTAAAAGACGGGCATGCATTGTCATTACTTTACCATTATGCTGCGATTTCTTTACGCCACATTTCTTTGATCAAACTTAATTAATGGATGAGGTCTATTTTTATTTCTGTTTCTATGGTGGCAAGGTCTGTGTACACACCCTCTGCAGATCCTATGGAATCCAACTAGGTTATTGTTGTTGTGTTTATAAACACACTCCATATACGAGAAATGATAATCTTAAAACATTTAAATGGTGTAAAACTATTACACCAATTCGATTGGGTTAGCTACAATGCTATGATTATAAAATTATTTGTTTCAGCTCATGTAATTCTCACCCTAAACTCCTAGCCCATCCCCGTAAAATTGATTGTTCCTACAAAGTTTATGAAAAATGTTAAAAAGTAAAAAGTTGGAGATTGAAATCTCTTTAGAAGAATGAAAGATTGTTAAAATCTATTTTTTACTTTATTGGAAAAGTAAAAAAGCGTGACATTTACTTTGAGATAGATGAAAAGGTAAAGTGGGACGATTAATTTGGAACTGAGGGAGTAGATAACTTGTTCTCACAGGCAAAACTGTATTGGAACTAGCATTGGAGTATTAAAACACATACATTCCGTAAAAGTTGATACAGTCAAGGAGGTAACACAACAAACAAAATCAGGTGTGAGACATTTTTCCATGTGATTGTCAAACATGTACCTTTTGGTCTTTATGTCAATATATAACACAAGCCACCAGCAGCAATGCAAGCAACACACTAATCAATGGCGATGATCAGAAAGCCAACAGATACATACATGAGAAGAACAGGATAGAGTGCAAGAGCTTTCCTGCTAGAAGTGACGGCGGTGCTCATGAACGGGTATGCTGCCCAAGAGCTCCATGCCAGCGTCACACCAACAACCACTAACTTAACTATTACATTGTCCATCACCATGCAGATAAGAGCGCCAACATCAAGCGGAAATAGGCAGTACCCGAGCAGACTCAAACTCTGGAAGAAGATTATGTGACCGCCCTGCAGTGAAGACAACTCTATTTTAGCAGCTTAAAATTGAATTGATAAGGATATCATAAGATATAATCAATACAAATGTTCAATTCCTTATCGTCAAAGTTTTTCAATTTTTTTTTTTGGATTTCGTGGTCAAAGCTTTTCAATTTTGACCTCAATAAGCAAAACGAGAACATTATTTTGGGACGGGAGGAGTATGTCCCAAAAATGATGTTTAGAAAAAAGTGTCCATTCATGTGTAGGTGTGTCCATGCATCAAGTCAAGGAACCAATTCAACCAAAAGCTCAAGCTTGTGGTTGTGGCCAAGGAATCGGTTTTTAAATACTCTAACACGCTCCGTCACGTGCAGGCGTGACTTCTTTGAGCCTTAGACGTGAAACTTTACTTTTTATTTAATATTGGGTGGCGCTGAGTTTTGAACCCGTGACCTCTTAGTCTACAAGGCTCCGATGTCATGTCAATGAACCAACTCAACCAAAAGCTCAAGCTTGTGGTTGTGGCCCAAGAATGGTTTTTTAAATACTCTTAAATGAGATCTGGTGTGGGTGAGAGAGAGAGAGAGAGAGAGAGAGCATTACCAGCAGCAATACATTCAGTGTAAGAATCACAGCACCTGCTGCAAGTAGTGCAAAAGCAACAGCAAAAACCTCAGACTGCAGCAGAAATATGTCAGGAACAAGAAAATGAAACAGAAATTAGTCTCTTGAAATGTTAACCATTAGCCAGTTGTATTGAACAAGAGACTTGCAAGCTCTGTAAGATTAGCATGAATGTACCAGAATTCGTGTACACTTTAGTCCTATAACCATCAGCCTGGTCTTGCACATTACAATACATTTTGTGCTCTTTTCTTATGTTTTTTGTAGTTATTAAAAAAACTTGTTTGGGGCAGATAAGCAATTGAGTAAATTACAGCTTGTCCTAATCTAGATGAATTTTAGACAAAATGAAGGTTGACTTTAAAACCAGAGTCCTTCAATGAATTCTTGGGATGATGAAATATCCTCAAACATGGCTTTATATGGAGTCGTACGGAGCGAAACTTGTGAAACTCATATGATTAAATTACAATAAAAAGATAAATAGGCAGATCAACACAATGAGAAAAATGATCGCGCACATTATTCTCATCATAAATAAAACACAATTTTTGTCAACTTGTCACGTACTTGGGGGTTAATATATGGCATACCATCAAAGAACCCACACCAAAATTAACAGAGAAAGTTCCTCCTAATATTTGAAAGTAAGCATAGTACACATTTAAAAGGATGTTAAGTGCAACACTCACAGAGAATTCATGCAATATGCTTATTAACCTAGCATTACAAGCTATAGCTTTAAGAATGCAAAGAGACTTCGGAAGATAAGGGTGCTTTAACTCGTTGGGAAATGAAGATGATTGCGGAAAAATTTAAAAATAAATTAACAGATTCAGACCATCACTGTTTAAAGGAGGGATTACTGAATTTCTTTTTTCTTAGAAGAATTGCAGTGGAATGCAAACAGAATTACAAATAGTAGTGAAAACCATAAGTAAATGCGTAACTTCTTCAATGGTATTCTTCCAAAAAAAGGAAGTAGTCAATGCAAGAACTCTCACACATTATGGGGGTCATGGGAAGGTGTTTTTAAGCAGCATTTCCAATGTTTTTTGAAATGATGTTGATTTGGACCACTGACCGCCATGACAAAACTGGAAATAAGAATTTAGATAAATATACAGAGTAATTCATAACAATATTTATTAGCGGTCAAAGTTTAACTGGTTTAACTCGAAAAGTCAAAACAAGAAAATCCCAGTAGGAGAGAAGATATATAAAACTTTACGGAGTATATAGTATAATATATACAGTAATTACTAATTCATCCATCTCCAGTATATTAAACGAGAAAACATTCCCAAAAGAGAGTGACATTATAAATGTGGCTCCTATCTAAAGAAAAAAAATCAAGAAAGAAATTAGCCATGAAACAAAATTTAAAAAGGCAAACGTGAGGAGGGGGAGCTTTTCTTTAGGGTTTTTCTTTATTTTAAGTCCATTCGGGTTTCTTCTTACTAAGGTTTTATGCTACTATTGAAATCAGGAAAAAGCAGTTAAGGTTGCAGGTCAAATTAAATTGGGAAGAAATAGATTCAAGGCATAGCCAGAAACGCCTAGACAACGACATCCAATGCCCAGTTTTACTCAGGCAACGAGAGCTGCCCTGGCGGGTATTCTCCGCTGCTTCGCTGCCTATGTGTCATATAGTCATCACCTAGACTAGGCCATGAGTTCATGACACTAATGGCTTCTGACGTGAACACGTAAACAATTTCCCTCAGCAGCTTGTTATGTGCTTCTTATGCATACAAGACCAGTACATATTCTTGAACCATTTTCACTAGTCAAGAACTGAAGATCACTAGCACACTGATGCTTTAAGGATTGCACAACTATGGTGCTATTCAATTTATAAGTCAAGAATTACCTTCTTGAAATTACAAGGCTGGATGTGCAAAAATTATAATAATGCAATATATATTTTAGCAAGACAGCTCTTCATACTATCACTTATGTCATGTTTAAGAGCATTGGTGAGATCAACTCATAAGGCAATGAGAGAATGTGGTACCAGTAAGTAAGAATTTATAGAATGTTAGAATTCAAAATGATCATTTCTCATCACTCTTCCACACATAGATATAAACTTGAATCCTCTATCCTCTTCTCAAGACTTAATATTCATTATATACACACTTAACTAACATTTGGGATACTTCCTTCCATGGAAAACGATTCCTTTTCAATCCGGATCATTAAAAACACAATATCATAGAAACACAGGAATATGAAGCTAAATCCTCTATTTGTCAAAACTATTAGTTGGGTAGAGATTTCTCGCTTTGTATCACTAACTGCGTGAAAATTTGCATGTGTAGTACCTTCTTAACAGATGCTGACCAGGAGAGAGTTAGTCCGAGGAAGACAATGAAGAAGAACGGCCCCCACAGATCCCAATCACGCAATGCCTTCCCAGGATCCTCCCTAAATGGGTTAGGGAAAACCACGAGTTTCAGATTACTGACAATTCTCGCAAGATCTCTTTTGACTGTATCCCAGACGGGCTCCGTAAGTGTATTTGGACTAGATCCGAACCCAGTTCCGTCAATACCAGACTGCCCTGTAGTGGGACGGGACGAGGAAGGAAGGAGGGGCGGGGCCTGGGGAATCGGAGGAGCGGGGGCAGGTCTGACATTGGAGACGGAAGGTGGGGGGAGATTGGATGGTATGAACGGGGAGGAAGATACGGGGATGGAAGCGCGGAGAGGGGACGGTGGGTGCGCTGGTAAAACGGTAGAAGGATGGGAATTGATGAGGTTCTCGATCTCGTCAATGTCGGATTGGGATGAGCTGTGCAAAGGTATTGTATCGCTGTGTGACATTTTTACGGATCCACTCACTACCAGCCCAGCTATAACCGGTCGCGGGAAGTTGAGATCACCGGAGGAGACAATGAACAGTAGAAAAGAGATGGAAGAGATAGGAGTTTTACTCGGATTTCCAATCTAGATTAACTATTTGTACAATTAAGCACCAAAATTTGTACACCAAACACAGGTATCCATATTTTGTGTTAGTGTCACGCTAATGTGATGTTTTACATTAATATATAATGTCACTGCAATTTTTTTTAAATGAATTAACATTTTGTATCGGTGTGAACCGTTAAAATGTCAAAACAAAACTATCAAGTTCGTTCATAAATGGTGTTGACTAGTTGACAAAACTAAAAAGTATGGTGTTAAAAAGTATGGAGTAATTATGTTAAGTTTAGATCTCTAAGGACAAGGTGCAGAATCTATTCAATATAATTTGTGATTAAAGTCTAATTTATTTGATGATAGTGATCAGGTCTAAAAGGGCCTTTGGAAATGAGACTTGTCATTTTTTTCATAAATAGCTTCCTTTTTTAAAATGTCCTACAAAAAAGTGGTTACAAAAGATATTGTTCCCAATTGAGAGACCTACGATACTATATTCATAAAAGTTCTTATCTCTATTCCCGTGGTAAACCCGCCACCTAATCCTAACCCTAACTCATATCCCAACTATGTCAATTACGGAGTGTAATTAATGTTACTTTGAGGTTAAAAATTTTGACATCAAAGTTGACTAAAATTGTTGGTGCAATTGACGTGATTGGGGAATGTGTTGAGATTGGGACTGGGTGAAGGGATTTACCAAGGGATTTGGGGGTAAAAACTATCAATTTTGCAAATAAAACACACTGTAGGTGTCTCAATAGGAATGATGCTCTCCCTAAGTACTCTCTTTGAGTGGCTATAGAACTAAACTGTTTTTACTCTATCCTAAAAAAGGTTTTCCTATTTGTTAGGCTAAATTTTTATTAAAAGTGAAACTAGATACGTACCCGTGAATTTTCAAAATTAATATCTCTCTGTCTTCAAATTTTAAAACACAATATTTTCAAAGAGATCCTATTTTAAAAATCCATCATCAAAGTAAAACCAAACAATGCGAAAGCTTTAGTATTTAAAACAAACACAAGTTGGGACTCATGCCCGAAAACGTAATAAGTCATGTTGTCCCACATCTCATCCTCTTCATTGCCTTCCGGGACTCTAGGTTCATCATTGTTTTATTACCTACGTGTAGCATACAAACACACTACACGCTCAGCAATGACGCTGAGTGAGAAATATCTAACGACAAAGTAAGCAAATAAGCAAACCCACAATTCGTAAGAATCATATGATATCATGCAACAACATATATATCACACATATAGTGCATCACATAATTTACCCAGCACTATCCCATTTCCATTCTCGTCTATCCCATTTCCATTCTCGTCAAACCTGTGGATTCTTCAAGGTTGGTAGATCACCAAGAACCTGTACGTATTATGTATTTTAGACTTAGTACTTTCAACTTTCTTTTGGAGTCATGATTTTCCTCACTAGATCAGCGGGTCATGCTTAACCAACGAAGGAGTTCTCCATTGGGTGGGTGGAATCCCCACCTGATGGTTCACCAGACAGTTCAAAAATACCCCTACATACGTTTTTACCTGAATAGCCATTCGCTCCAGTAGGCACCACGTGGCTCAAACTTTTAACCTAATACTCATGCCTATCTTAGAGTTTTTCTAGGTAGACTTACCTCAGTTCATGGTGTTAGATCAACACCCGCGTAACCTGCATTTTGCATGCTGGATCAGCCCGCTCTTACCATTGGGCACAAGGTTGGATCAATCATAATAATACTATCAATTCACACACAAGTGTTGGATCAACACATACAATTAACATAACACATATCGGCATAATGTTAGGAGAAACTCCCACACGTACCGTTATACAACACACAAAGGTTCTGGATCAATATTCATCATTTTTAGTATTTAATCATTATTAAATGCATTCGGGGTATTTTAATTAACAAAATAGGAGCTAGATTGACCATAAGTTCATATGTTTCATAAACAACTCCAGTAATTCGAAAATAGGGTTGCACTGGGCGAAATGTGCTGATTTATTCGACTAAGCCAGTAACAACTCCTCTTATTTAGTTGACTAAATGATGATTTAGTCAAATAAATCACACCTTTTGCAGCCTCACGATCCTACATTTTGACAGGGTTCTCCGGCGACCTTCTGGGTATTTTTGGTCATCACACAACTTCAAAACACCATATAATCTTTATTTATCATTCATAGACCATTTATAAAAAAAACTAAAACCACAACTTTAAAATCAAAAAAGGAATCAGTGATTCGAAGCTCATCAATTTCCTACAAACCTAATTTCCACGTATAAGATCATATCAAGTCAAAAATCATGCATATAATCAATCCTTTTCCACGTGGGTTTCATGCATATATATAATCAATCATGAACGTGGGTTTCAAACCTAAATTTATAATCTAGTGTTAAATGTCCATGTGCTCACCTCGGACCGACAAACACAAATAAACAAAAAAAAGTGGCAGTGGCGCTGCTGCTGTCCTCTCCTTCCCCTCCTCCTCCTTCTTCTTCTTGCTGGAGACATCGACACAAGGGGACTGTTGGAACACACTTTGTACGATAAACTAAAGTCGTGTTCATTTCTGACAGGTTTTGATAATTGCCAAACCGCCGTGGATATAAAGAGTTTCGTTGAATAACTCAAGGCGTAAAGAATGGCTTGGAACAAGACCTAAAAGAATCAAGGACAAGATCAAGAATTGAAGACTTAGTTGAGTCGGTCTTTTGTGATCAAAACCGACAATATATTCAAGTCTCGGTTCTCAAAAAGTCAAAACAATTTTTTACAAACCATAAAATATTTTTTGTGCATCAAAACAAACATTTTTGATGATTTCTTTTATTGTTAAAATCTCTGGTCCTTGCTCAGAACCAAAACCACCTAAGTCGGCGTTCGGCTTTCGACGTTCGGCTTTCGGCGTTTGGTTTTTGGCGCCCGAACCAACTCCGTGGTTTTCAATATTTTAAACCCTGTTTTTACCTCTGAGCATTTTTAAAATGTTTCCAAATAATTATTTTATAAAAACCACTTTTGTATCTTGGTCAATCGGTCTAACACGTGAAAAACGGTCTAAACCATACGTACGTATTATACGACCTTGGAGACTTGTTTTTTACCAAACAAGTCTTGTTTTCACTATTTAATACCATATACAATATTTTCCAAACCTGGTTTTTACTTTTGGGAACACTTCGTTTTTGGACCTCGGTTTTTCAAAACGGGTTTCAGCTGGCTAGACTTTAGCTGGGTGATAATCGATTATCACCTTAGTGACAATCGACTAGCAGCCACTACAGCTTTGAACTTCCAAAGTTCTGAAGCACGCAATAATCGATTATCAGCTTTGCAATAATCGATTATCAGTCTTTGCAGCCAAAACCCAGAATCTTCTGAGAGGACCAATAATCGATTATCACTTGTTGACAATCGATTATCTGGGTTACCGTTGTCCTCCAATGGATAGAATTTTAAATTTTTGGACAGGGAATCTTTGGATAATCGATTATCATGCTTTGACAATCGACTATCAGCATGTGTCCCTGAAAAATTTGTCTTCATCCTGTTGGAAATTCTAGCAACGGGTTTATCCCATTTTGGGCTATAAAATGGCACCCAAATCCTCTCATTTGATACACAATTCTTCAACATTTCAATACTCCTTCATTGCATAAGCATTCCTACTTTTCTTAGCTATTTGAGAGCCAATTCTTGAAGAAATTGTCGTGTTCTTGAGCGTTTACTAGTTCACTCATATCTACTCTTTGTGAGAGTTTTATTCCTGAGTGTTTAAGTGCTTTCATACAATTTAAGGGAGGTTGTTCCCTTGTTGTAAACTCGAAGGAAATTACTTGTTCCTTCGTGAGAAGTCTTGGAGTGCGGTATCTCCGAGCAAAAGTGTTGAGGCTCGTGTGACTCGGGTTCTCAAGTTGTATCGGTTTGTTAAGCACCCTTAAGCTTAACGGAGTTAGTGTAGCTCGAGAGAGTCTCTCGGGGGGCTGGATTAGCCACACGTTGTGGTGAACCAGGATAAAACTCGGTGTGCTCCTTCCTTACGCTCTTTACTTTAACGCACTCGTTTTTAATTTCATGCGATTTTAATTTAAACGCTATTCACCCCCTCTCTAGCGTTGGGCCTTTATTCTAACAAGGACGAGAGAGAAATGGAGTTATGTTAATGTATGTGGCGTAAGTAGCTAAGGCGCATGTAGGAGTTTTTTATAACCTAGGGATTTATGATCCGTAATTAGATAACATACATCAAAAAAAATACACTTTTTGGATTTGTCCTGTTGCACCTTACACAATGGTATAATTATTATAAGTTATAGTCAAGTATTTATAATTAACTCCTGATCTATTTCAGTAATTATTATTATTATTATTATTATTATTTAATTAATTAATTTTGATAGTCCGGGTTTGGGGGCGTTGCACCCACTACACATATCGAATCCTGGAGGAGAGCAAGAAGATTTCTGACCTACTAGGCCACACCTACCAACAAGAGAAGAAGTGATCCTTTTTAGAGTGGAAAAGTGAAAAGTTCGCCACCTAGATATTTGCTTTAAAAGAGAAGAGGACCACCGCCCGTCGCTACCGTGAAATTTTACAGGAGGTGGTCAACGTCTTCAAAACCTCCAAAGGCTTCTAAGATGCTACCATGGCGTGGGTGGCAGAGCTCATCCCCCCTCTAGGTTGACACTAATGGTTGGTCACCCGAGGCGAGCTCTCCTTGAAGGTGGGACTCTTTAGGGCTCAACAAGTCTTTCATGAGAAGATTGTTGTCGCCACCCCGATCTATTTTTGGAGAGCTTAGGCATCCCTCCTACCTGCACCGATGCTAGTAACTTTGACCCATCTTCTTACAAGGATGAAGATGAGGAGCTTGCCACATTTGGGGACGAGGATGTTTGGCACGACCAAGAGATAAATATTGAAGATTCTTCTGTACCTTAGGTTTTTCCTTTTTTGTAGGTGCTGTCTTGGAATCCTTATAAAA